ACATATTTATTTATTATTTATTTATTGGTTTGATTTATATGCCGCCCTTCTCCGGAGACTCAGGGCGGCTTACAATGCATTAAGCAATAGCCTTCATACTTTTGTATATACTTGCTTAGTTAGGCTTTCGGGGGGCCCCAAGCGGTGTTCTTTTTTTATACAAAGTCAGCTTATTGCCCCCATTAAAACTAAATAAGTATCTCAAATAATTATCATTAATCAATATTAAAATGTTTTTTAAAAAACTATTAAAAACAACTAAATAAAATTAATAGGCAAAAGGTGGATAATAGTAATGGAGCCACTTGACCATTTCAGCCATCCGCTGGAGTCCCCAAGCTTGCCAGCATATCTAGGTTCCCCCAAAAGCTTAGAAGCAATGAAGCCATCCTCACCTCAGGAAGTGGGGAGAATATTCCACAGCACAGACTCCACAGGCCCTTAGTCTATATCAAAGGACAAATCATAAAATCAGAGGCCGTTCTAGTTCTATGGTTGTCCTTAGATATTGTTTTTAGTTTAAAAGTTTACTTTGTACTTCAGGATTTTTTTACATATTACAATTGCCATACGACACCTACGAAGTATCGGTGTCAAAGGTGTAACTTCAAAATTTCTGTCCCTCATTTGCTGAGAATCTTACGTAGGTTAGATTCTGTCAGGCACGAGCAACCAAAATCACTCATGAATAACACTTTGAACTTTATTGTTTAGCACCTATGTTACAAGAATCTCGCCAAACTGTCTTCCCCTGGGAATGACCAGATAAAGCTTTATGGATTCTGGGGGGGAGGTCATGCTTAAACCATTTTCAACTGTGCAATAACACCAAGCTCGGCTCTTGCTTGACCCTTCTCTTCAGCCTAGCTGCCAATTCCCCCACAGATTCCCACAGATCTAAATATAGGTGTCTTAATTATGAATACACACTTCTATATTGTTCATACCAGTGGTGGGTTGCCCCCGGTTCGCACCAGTTCTATAGAACTGGTAGTAAAAGCAGCGGGAGGCTCTGCCCACTGACCCTGATGTCATCAAAATGCTTCTGTGCTTGCGCAGAAGAGCACACATGCAAGCGAAGCGAGCGCGTGCGCGAGGCCTCATTGCAAACTGGTAGTAAAGGTAAGTAGAACCCACCCCTGGTTCATATGTTATGCCACTGCTACATAAAATATATGTCTTTTTCCTATGGCATTTATCAAGTTACGCAAGATATAAGTAACACTCTTTTTCTCTGCAGTAATAAATAATTCATTCAAAGTTGTTTCTGTATCCATTAAATACCAGGCTGGAGAATGGGGAAAAACTTTGATCAGATGTGGGAAAATAGTGGTATTAATGTTTTCTGTTATATGCAAAACATTCTCGATGTACCAGCAGCCCGTACTCAAAAATAGCACAATTCTTATCAGAGCAGAAAGTTCAGTAACGCTTCTGCACCTAATGAGGGTGGTCTCTTTTCCACTGGAGGGCATCCTTGTCACATATTCCCCTTTCCTGTGCACAGTTTCAACATGAAATTAGAGCAGATACAGCGGCTGAAATCACCAAAATTTACAATATTGTACATTTCATTGTAAATACAGTATTTACAATATTGTAAATCTATTGTAAGAATAGATTTACAATAGATGTTGTAAATCTATTCTTCCAAGAAATGTCTGTCTACCTTGTTTAGTAACAAGCACCACAACCATAGCCATTTGGAAAGACAAGGCTTTTAAATGCAAAAATGCTACTCTACAGGCCACACAACCTATAACTGTTATGTTATTCTGCCTTTCTTGAAGAAAGAGCCAGAGCACCATCAAAAATAATGATTAAACTTTTTAATGGAGATAAATTTCACTTTAAAAACCAGAATTGAAACTTTCAGGTGCAAGTTTGCTCTGATGTTGACTATATAACCCTATTATTCAACTTGCTGCCATGGTGACCACATAGGCTTTTAAATCCATAATTTATCATTATTACAATAAATCTTCCTCATTATGTCTCACAACAGCCTTTCCGAAATTGTTTTTTCCCCAAAGAATAACATGACGAATGTCTAGAAATACACAGTGACAAATATATGGCTTTAAAAAGCAGAGGAGAAATGCTAGCAAAATACTTGATTTTACTTTAAATGGAAGGGGGGTATGAAGAAATTGTTATTAATTCATAATCTATAGAAACCCAAGGGACAGGATACTTGTATGTAGCTATCAGTGCATCTTGTAAACAGTCATAGTTTTCTCTCCAAGTGCTACACATTAAATGTATTCACTCTACTGTCTGAATATTAGTATAGACTTGAAAAAAGACAACAAAGGAATATTCCAATTTGATTTCCAAAGTGGATTGTTGGGCAAATAATCTGTTTGGGCAAACTGAAAATATGGTGGTCCGAAAAATCTATATATTACCTACCAACTTTAAATCTGCTCAATCTGTTCATGACACGCAAGGAGGCAGAATGCAACTAGCCTATTCAATGCTAACCAAAATGGAATCATATTATGATTCAGTATTATGTGTGAATAGCTGTTTGGTTATTTTATCAAGAATAAAGATAAAATTCATACTTCTGAGTATTTCCTTCATTCCAGATCAACCTTATTCATAATTCCATTTTCAATGAACTCATTATTTTTAGTAAATCTGGACTGGGTGATTAGAAATGTCCATTCTATGTCATAACTTCTTAAATATCGTTTTTAACGTAATGCCTCAAAGATTGAAAATATTAAGAAGCCAAGTTGGGCAAGCTGCAATTGTTATTTTTATATATGTACATGTATATGTAGCATAACTGATGTACCATTGAATAAGGAGGTTACAGCACAAATCTACACTGACTTTTCTTGCAGTTAGCATTTAACAATAGGAATATTTAAAATAGAATCTAAGTCATGTTAAGAACTTTAGTAAATTCATGGTCAAAAGAGTTTTACTGAACGTATTTTTCTGTTGCTTTTTAATGAACCTGTGTTTCTTTTCAATTATTTATACATGTTCAGCGAAGTAAGGATCTATGAACTGATATTTCATAACATTTAATATTAGTAGTAGTAGTATTAGTACTCAATAGTCCTAGAGAAGCGGTATTTAACACACCCCTCAAAAACTACTCATGTAGGAACCCCATAAGAACTTTGAACCTGAGCAAAACCTTCCTAATCTTCTGGTGACTGAGCCTCATCTGGATTTGATGTTTTATTCTTTGTTGAAGAACGCTGTAGGATTTCTGCTAGTGGCTTTTTTTCCCAAATGAGACTTGTTTGATTGAAATTGCTTCTAACTTCCTTGCCTGTCTTCTGGCTAATCCAAACACCACCTTCCTCAGCAGTTATTTGCTGCAACCGGGGAGGTTTTTTCTCCTGCACCGGCTCCTCAAATTTTATCCGCAGTCCTTCTGGGCATGAACTTTCTGGGCCATAATAGTATTCTCCTGGTGTTGGGATGCTCTTCGTACTGTCCTGAGATAGCTTCGTTTCTCTAGGCTGATTGCTAAGTGTCGATTCCTCTTCTTTTGACAGCTGATCATCATTTTTAGATTCCTCTCCCTCCACAGATTGGGAGATCTCAAAGGAAGCCTGTTTATTTTCTATGTCCCCAGCAGAAGGTGGTACATGATCTTCAGCATCTGTATGTTTGTCGGTATCTCCTCCTATTGGAGGTATTTTAGGATGTAGAATTTCTGCAAGGGGCTTTTTCTCCCAAATGAGACTTGTCTGGTTAAAATTGTTGCACAGTGGTTTGCCAGTTCTTCGGCTTACCAATGGTGGACTAAACTCACTATCTATTTCCTTTACATGTTTTACTGACGCTGTATTGCTGCGAAGAGAGTACTGACCAACAGAAGGATGACTTTTTGGCTGGCTTGAAGTTTTATGACTGCTGTGATGGCACTCTTCTGACATTTTTTCCATGTCACTGCTGGAAATAATATGCTGATCATGCTGTTCTTCCGGGTGTTCATCATTTATTCCTTTAAAGATAGTTGAACTTTCTACTTCGCTATTTTGTTCATCGGTTTCTGAAATGTCCTTAATTTCTTCATTTGTTTTATTGCTTGCAGCATCCTCGGTATTTTCCATTCTTTTTTCTTTTCCTTTTTTTGTTTGCTGAATTTATCTCTCCTTGTATGTTGTCTTCTGAAAACTATTGGTCAAGAATACTTGAGATATACTTGTCTTTTTATTTTATTCCCGTAAAAGTTCTTTCCTCCCCTTCTTCCCATCTGAAATCCATTTGTATGGATGTTGCATAATCACAGAATAATCCAGAGGGGAAATAGAAATATGGAATATATACCAAAACACAGAATCCTAACTATGCTGGAAAGAGCTTCCTAGGGTATTTTCACATGTTTACTGTTCTAGAATGTAGGGTTTTCTATGACATCATAGATTTTTTTTCCTATTCAGTCTAATCATTTAATGTGTCAGTACATTCATATATGGCAGTTTCCTTTTATGCTCATCTTTACATCTGAGAGCCTGGTTTGCATAGAATAATGTGAATATGCTTGCAGTGGATGGTTCTGTTTGTGGCATACTAGTCAAAATATGCCAAAAGAAAGTGCTGTGTTTATTATAAGTAGGGAGTCTTCATGTAGCATAGCTATTTAATCTGATGTTTCTTTTGCTTACTAAGAAGCATTCAATGAAAGTCAAGGAAGGGAGGGAGGGAGGGCGGGAAGGAAGGAAGGAAGGAAGGAAGGAAGGAAGGAAGGAAGGAAGGAAGGAAGGAAGGAAGGAAGGAAGTCTCTGAAACTATTTCCTCCTTGGTAGTTTCCCAAATAAATTGGTTTTGTTCTATGTTTTCTTATATGGATTCAGGAACACTGACGTAAAAAAAATGCACAAGTGGCCTGAATAACCTTTGTCATTCCTCTCTGTGGCTCTGAGAATATTTTATATCTTGATCTTGAAGTGATTTTTATTTCAAGAATGCCTACGTTCACCAGGCAAACAGCTTCTCCCAAGTGATATCTAATTTTGGAAGGCATCCACATTTTTCATGCAGCCATTTGCACTCCACCCATTTACTTGTTTGTATGTGCTCTTCTGTGTGTTCCATTTTCTTCTCAACAAACCCTCGGTTCACAAATGGGGGAGCAGGAATTTTGTTTCTATCTGGTAAATATAGAGGAGATTCCTTGTACCGTTTCTAATATTGAACCATAATTTGAATAGAGCATTCTCCCTTTCAGGGCTCAGAATAATTGTCTCACCCCCCTTTTCCTTGGTTGCTGGGGGTTTGCAAGGGTTTGGGAGAACCTCTAGCTAAGATTCTGTGCAGTTTGGAGAATTCCCAAATCCCACTCCTGGCTCGCCCCACCCACCCCGCCCCTCCCAGGAGTCCCCACATGGCCTGTTTTGGATGCAGGTAAGTGTAGGGCACGCACGGAGGCTCAGTGAAGGCGAAAAACAGGCTTACTGGAAGGCCAGAAACAGAGGGCCTTCGGAGCCTGAGGAGACCGTTTTCACCCTCCTGGAGGCTTGAGGAAAGCCTCCGGAGCCTGGGGAAGGGAAAATGCCCCCCCACCCCATGGTGCAGGAGGCCAACTAGGCCACAGCTCCATGGCAACGTCCACCCAGCAACTGGGCAGAGATCCCCTTGCTAAAATTTTTGAAGCTCACCCCTGTTGGCTGGGATAGATTGGCTGGTTACTAGTTGTTCTTTAAGAGTCTGAATGGGCCCAACTCTCTATTTTAAATTCAATAACTACATCAGCATAGATCAATAACTGGAAAAGCACACTTAAGGTGATGGATTATTGTCAGTCATGCTGAAGTACCATAGGTGGAACCTGGTTTTTTAGGCCTGTTCTGTGCGATGTAACTGGCCACCAGGTAAGTGTTGTTTTTCTCTTTTGCTCATTGTATCAACTATATTTATTCTGGTGATAGAGCTAATGTGGTTACCATAGTCTTCTTTGCCTTTGTACCCTGTCAATAGGGCCATGTGGCAAAACAATCAGGTCTTTATGAAACTGTTCTATTTGCTAGCAATCAGGGTAGGAAAAATAATAAGGAAACGGACACCGTATTTTCAGACTAATATCTTGTTTTATTATTATCGCTGTTAATATGCTGAGAGCTGAAATTATCTATTATTAACCATTTCTCTGTTATCTTTCATTAGAAAACCTGTTAAATATACAAAGAGGAAAGGCAGCTGGAAAATTCTGTGAACTCAAAGGACACGCATGTTTTTCTTTTACTGAGTGGGCAAATATAATGAGACCTTTCTCTTTATTTTTAACTTAGCTTCTGTCTTTTTCTTCCTTGGATTAAAATATGACTCCAGCTAAAGCTTTTGGGGAATTGTTTTTTTATAGAGGGCTTAAGGCAAATTTTGGATTCAGAATTCTCCCCCCCCCCCAAAGCGAGACAGAAGCGTTCTCTTTTACTGTCATTAGCTATATTAGAAAATAAACGTTATTTAAAATAGCACAATGCTCTAGGCATACCCCAGTGCTGGCTCACTCATCTGCAAATGCAGAAAGATAGAATGACAAGTGATCTTGTGATTGCGGTTTATGCATTACTTGTGGTCAACATTCAAACAAGCTGAAAGTGTTTCAGAGAATGGCAATGTGAATGGTTAGAGGACAGGAAACCATAGGGAATAAAGGATGTGGATATGCTTAATTGAGAAAGAAAAAGACAGAGAATATGACAACAATCTTCAAATATCTGAAAAGGACAAGGCATCTTTGTCATTCAGAACATAAGGCAGAGAAAAGGATTTAGATAAAAGGTTTAGATCACAAGAAACAGATTTCAGCTGAATGTTAGAGAATTATTTTTGAACAAAATAATAAGAGCAGGTTGATTTTGGAGCAATTCCTAGGAGTGATGGTGGATTCCTCTTTGCTGGATGTATCTAAGCAGAGACCAAGCAGCCATTTGCATTCCAGAACTAAACAGAGAGGGGGATAGTGGCTGATGAACTTCTGATTTTAAAATCGGGGGGGGGGGGATGTTTTGATAGTTTACAAATGTATGAAAAGGCCACAGACTTTTTCCATAGGTATCATAGGCTTCAAATAAAGATCTGAGCAGATAAAGGCAGTAGACAGGAAATTTTTTTAAAAAACTGATGCTTCCAAAGAATCCAGAGCAAAAAGATATACAAAATGCAAAATGACTGCAAGAGAGCCACTTCTCTAGAATGGCATTTGGTTAGAACCAAGTTCTGGGATTTCTGTAAAAAAGTAAAATGTATAGGAATTAATTTGCATGTAAGATCTGGGTATAATTAAACTCTTATTTTAAATAAAACAGTAAAGCAATTTTACTGCTTTAAAATAAGTTCTTTATATTGGCTTGTAGATAATTCTCATATACTGCTTTAAACTTCCTCTTACCCCTAAGAGAGAAGCTCAGTTGAAACAAGGGACTGGCCTGCAATCAGCTTACTTTCTCCATGGCCAAAAGGAGACTAAACTTTGGGCATTCCTGAACCAAATCCACAACCGCTTATCTTTTCAGAATATCAAGCCTGGACCACCAGTCTGTCTATAACTAAATTTGTATCAAAATGCTGAGTTAGAATTTGTCAGGTTTTATTATTCATGATGGAGCAATCTACTACAGGTTATCAACTGCTCCCATTTGACACTTCTGCAAGCCGAAATATACATCTGAACTAACCACGAACTTAGCAAAATATGGAGTGGGGGGAGGAGAATAATTTTATTCAAACCTGTACGAAGTTAGCACTCACTCCTCTCCTAGAAGAATGAAATATTTTAGGAAATATTAAAAAGGCAGAATATTATATTTCCCTGGATGAGAAATGGAGAAACATGTTTTAAAGACAAAGCACCTTCCTGCCTCCCCCCACCTTTGTCAATGAGCCATTAAGGCCTCAGCCAAGCTCACTCATTCCCCCCACCTTTGTCAATGGACCATCATCTGCAACACAATAGGACCCATCTAGCAACAGAAACTAACCATATGGCACCTGGGAAGATTACATCAGCCAGCAAGGCTAGCTAAGACACCCACCCCCTGGGAATCTAAACCAATCAGGATACCCTTCCTGTGCCCAAGGAAGTTCAAAGCTCAGAGAGGGCATAAAACTCAGGGACTCCCAGCATCTCTGCCCTTTTTCTGCTCAGGAACTCAAACCATGTGATCCTGTCCACCATTAAACCATCTTTCCAAGCAGTCTCCATGTTTCCAGTGTTTTTCCCCATTTGGAGCTGAACCCAGAAGGATATTTCTTTCAACAAACCAATACTGGCTTTTAGGTTTCATATTGTTAGAAGAGTGAGAATTTGATTCAGACATTATTTTTGTTACGATATTTTCAGGATCAGACTCAATAAATAAGTTGAGAGTTATAAATTCAAATAAATCACTATTTATTTACATAAGGCATTCTATATTCACTGAATATTCACAGATAGAAGCACAAAATGGACGTATGCGGCTCCTTATATATACAATGGGTGGAGCTAGATATGGGAGTGGTGAAATATGAATACATTAAGAGGTGAAGAATAAGTTAACCCCTGATACCCTGTTCAAGTACTATTTACATAATGGAGAATAAGGCATTTACTTGTGACAAATCCCCCTCTAAATGCCGATTCGACATAATACAACAATTACAATCAGATTCAGAACAATATAAGACATGTAATTTAGAGGTCAAGTATTTATGTTGCTTAGACGGCAAAGGCTTTGTTAATATGTCAGCTATTTGCTCTGATGTTTCACAATGAACTGCTTTGATAAATCCATCTTGAGATAATTGTCTCACATGTTTAAACTTTATATCTATATGTCTGGACCTTTGTCCAATAGCATCAGACCTAGATATTTCGATAGCAGCTTTATTGTCTTCATGCATAATAAAAGGCAAAGTGGGTTTCTTCCAAATATCAGAAAGTAAATCATTAAACCATACAAGGTTATTTGCTGCTTTAGATAGACAAACATATTCTGCCTCTGTTGTTGAAGTGGTTACTAGATCTTGTTTGCCAGTATACCAGTAAACTGGACAACCGTTAAGGAAAAATAAATAACCAGATGTGCTTTTTCTACATGAGGTATCGCCAGCCCAATCCGCATTGGCATAACATGTGAGGATGGGCTCTTTGACAGTATTAGGTTCCAATAACAAACAGAAGTCTAAACTATTCTTCAAGTATCTTAATATCCTTTTGACAGCTTCCCAATGGTATAGTGATGGTTTGCTAACATGTCTGGACAATAAGTTGAGAGGCAAGGCAATATCAGGTCTAGTCCAATTGGAGATATAAAGAAGTGAACCTATGACTGACCTGTAAAATGTATTGTCTTTGAATTCAGGGGATGATTCATCTGTATTTTTCAAAAAATCAATTTGCATTGGAGTATCGCAAGGCTTAGCATTACTTAAATTACATTTATTCAAGAGCTCTATGATTTTGTCCTTTTGAGAAAGCTTAAATCCTCTTCTGGTTTTACTGATTTGAACACCAAGATACTTATTTACTTTACCCAAAGATTTCAATGAAAAATGTTCCTTCAGTTTTGTTACAAATGCTTCTCTCCTTTCATTATGTTTACCTATGTACAAAATATCATCCACATAGATCAATACAAATTCTAGTGAATCATCCTCTTTTTTGACAAAGAAACAATTATCAGCAGTAGTGGCATTGAAATTCATAGTTTTGAGTACTTTTACTAAACAATCATACCATTGTTTACCAGATTGTTTCAACCCATATAAACTTTTATTTAGTAACCAAGTTTCATTTTTGTTTGTGTATTGACTGTGGGGTGCCCTCACATATATTTCTTTATCTAGTTTTGCATGTAAATATGCAGTCTGTATGTCGTATTGGAATACATCGAGGTTGAGTGCTGATGCTATAACCAGAGCTGTTTTGACACTCTCTGTTCTTACTGTGGGGGAGTATGTATCTGTATAATCCTCGGGATATTTCTGTGCATAACCTTGTGCAACTAATCTAGCTTTGTATAGAGTATTGCCTCCCTCTAAATTTTTAATTTTATATATCCACCTAGTGCCAATGATGGTTTTGTCCTTTGGTGCAATTGTAGGTGTGAATATATTTAGCTCTCGTAAACTATCCATCTCTTTACTCATGGCTGATTCCCATTTTTTCTTTTCTTCAGAGGGAAGTTTTAACACTTCCTCATATGTGTTAGGTGTTGGTGATTCTCTATCCATATGCATTACATAATCTTTGTATTTGTTTGGCACTTGGTTTCTGCTACTTCTGATTGCTCTTTCTGGTTTAGTATCATTGTCATGCATATACCTTGCTTCCTTTTTTGTTAATGAATCTGTTCTTATTTTATATTGACTATTTGTCCATGTTTTGACTTTATTTTTATGCGTGTCGTTATTATGTTCTTCTCTATCCTCTTTTTCTTGGAGTTTAGTGTCTGAGTTGGTGTTTGGGAATATTTCGTTAAGATGTATTCTAGACCAGTTGGCCTGTTCATGGAACACAGCTGTTCTGGAAACTATAAATTTGTTATTACTATCGATAAATCTGTATCCTTTTGTACCTGTCTCGTATCCCATAAATCTAAGTCTTCTGGATACGTTTTCACCTTTGCGCCTCAATTGTTTAGGTATGTGTACGTCTGCAGTGACTCCAAATATGTGCATGTGTGCTAGTTTTGGTTTTCTGTTATACATTGCTTCATATGGTGTCTTATTTATAATACTGGACCAGGTTCTGTTTTGTGTGTAATTAGAGTATTGTAGGGCTTCTGACCAGAATTGTTTACCTAAGCCAGCATCCTCTAATGTGCATCTAATCATGGTTTGTAATGTTGAGTTCTTTCTCTCTACCACTCCGTTCTGGAACGCAGAAAATGGGCTAGATGTGTAATGTAACATTCCTTTGTCTTTTAGCCATTGGGAGAATTCCTTAGACATGAATTCACATCCCCTATCTGTCATGATTTGTTTTATTTTAATATTGTGTTGTGTTTCTATACGTTTGTAAAACTCCTTAAATTTCTGAAAGGTTTCATCTTTATGTTTTAATGTGTAAACAAATCCATAACGACTATAATCATCCACAATGGTTAGAAAGTAACGTTTTTTATAAGTAATTGATGGTGTTAATGGACCAACTAGATCCATGTGTACCAAATCAAAAATTTTGTTAGTTGATCTTGTTGACTTCCTAGGTCTGGGACTAGTTTTGAGTTTTGTAGATTTACATACTGAGCATTTCAAATAGTTTTCACAATTTTTTATTTTAACACCTTCTGCATGTT